GTGCGTGTGCGTGTGCGTGTGCGTGTGCGTGTGCGTGTGCGTGTGCGTGTGCGTGTGCGTGTGCGTGTGCGTGTGCGTGTGCGTGTGCGGTGTGCGTGTGCGTGTGCGTGTGCGTGTGCGTGTGCGTGTGCGTGTGCGTGTGCGTGTGCGTGCGCGTGTGCGTGTGCGTGTGCGTGTGCGTGTGCGCGTGCGCGTGCGCGTGCGCGTGCGCGTGCGCGTGCGCGTGCGCGTGCGCGTGCGCGTGCGCGTGCGCGTGCGGGTGCGGGTGCGGGTGCGGGTGCGGGTGTGGGTGTGTGTGTGTGTGTGTGTGTGTGTGTGTGTGTGTGTGTGTGTGTGTGTGTGTGTGTGTGTGTGTGTGTGTGTGTGTGTGTGTGTGTGTGTGTGTGTGTGTGTGTGTGTGTGTGTGTGTGTGTGTGTGTGTGTGTGTGTGTGTGTGTGTGTGTGTGTGTGTGTGTGTGTGTGTGTGTGTGTGTGTGTGTGTGTGTGTGTGTGTGTGTGTGTGTGTGTGTGTGTGTGTGTGTGTGTGTGTGTGTGTGTGTGTGTGTGTGTGTGTGTGTGTGTGTGGTGTGTGTGTCTGCAAATAGGCACCCTGTTTTTGGAATGGCTGTGAAGGGAGACCAAAGTAAAACCCCAATTTTTCAGGCTAACGCATTGAAACGCTGACAAACAAAGGGCTCGTGAGAAGATACATCCGAAAATATGTTGCTTCTCGAGCAGATCCTGGCTTGTACGGGCGATGTGACATATTGAGTTCGCGGCAATTCAGAGAAGGCGGGGACCTTGTTTAATCCACGCTTCCCTGTCTACATGGGAAAGGGACAAAAATGGGAGCTTCCTGGATCTTGGAACCAACCGAAATCATGGCGAGGCTGCAAACTCCTTTCGCTCTCTCCTGAACATGCCCACGTCACGAGCCTTGCCGTTCAGCCAGGCTGGGCTCAAGCCTGTCCGAGCCCGCCTCGGCGTAGAAGTTCGCTCCGGGCGCCGCGGCACCGACGGGAACCTGTCCAGAATTGGCCGCGACGGGAAGGCGTGGACTGTGAATGGATTGAGCTTGGTTTGTGGGTGTTAGACCTGCTTCTGCACGCCACACAAGGGAATTGCTACATGAAGATTGGACTCGGCTGGAAGGATATTGGAGCACCATGCGGGTTTCATGCGGCTGACTTGTGGTGAATTTGCGCCGCTTGCCAGCACTTGCACTCGGAACGCGTACTGAGTGAACCTCAGAGCTGTTCAAATAGTATTCCACCCTCTTCCTTGTCTACAAGTCGTTGTTCAATACTTGATCCATCTCATATCCAACACAACTACAGCGCTCCATCAATTGAGGGAACCCGCTCTTGTTCTGAAACTGAGAAATGAAGTTGCAAATGCCTATGCAGACCATTCGATTTGTTGTTTTTTTTTTTGTTTTTTTATCAGAAAGCAACCAACAGCTGCTGCGTGAAGCCGTAGACAGGCAAACTTACGAAAACAATGTTGCGGAAAGAATCGAGAAAGGCCACAAAGGCTTTTTGACTCCACGGAAAGCAAACCAAACAGAGCTGCCCCTTCCCTTCCTGCAGCGTGAGCGCCGCCATGCCCAGCACCTGGCACCCCTCGCTGCCGGGACGGCCGGTGCCCGGCCGAAGGCCGGCCGCCAGCTCTTCGGTGGCCACGGACAAGCGGAAGGAGTTGCCGTAGGGCCCGCGGAGCCTCAGCTCCTGGCACCGGAGGGCGGTCGGAGAGTGCCGGATTCGAACGCCCGAGTTCGAGATTTCGATGAACGCCACGCCGGATTCAGACGCAGCTCCGGCAAGGGGTGGCCTCCATGAAACAAAGGGTGCTTCGAAGAGCCGAACGGGGCTGAGCGGCTGGGCAACATGGGCATGGGCTCCCTCAAAATTGAGGCTGTTTTTGAATGCGCCTCTTGCTAGTTTCAAGCTTTGTGTTACATGTTCTCCCAACTCAAGGTACCAATGCTGCCTAAGGCAAGCGAAACAAATTGCCCCCCCTCTGGCTTCAACATGCGCTTCATCACATCTCCGGCATCCAAGCAATGAGCAATGCTACCAAGTTTAGGTTGACCTCTGCTAGATCAACCCGAACTTCTCAGTGCTTCACGGACTGTAAGGTGCTTTCAAGTCGTCAGAGAGCAGGCTCCAAACACGTCCAACCACAAAACAATGTCCAAACTTGCATCAGGAATGAACACTGATCCGGGAAACCTGGATGCTCTTAGCGCACGGAAGCCAAATGTGCTGCCCTGCCAAGTCATTCAACAGTTGCCATCTTTGCGACTATCCCTTTGCGCCACGCCCAAGCGAAAACCCCCATGTCTGACAAGCCCAAAAAGCGTAGACAGGCTGCTGCTCTCTCTCTCTCTCTCTCTGCGGGAAAAAATGACCAGCCTGCAGATCCTCTTGCCACTCCACAGCCAGGCAGGTATCGCGGAAGTGCTCCTGACATAAGAAAGGTAGCGAGGCTGACAAGTTACTTGGGACTTGGGATGTGCAATTCACTTTGCATATTCTGGCACAAACAAATAAGCAAAGAGACTAGTCAAACAAGCAACGAAACAAACAAGGAGGCAAACAATCACAGCTGTACGGAAGTATTCCCACCCCCCCACCCCCCAATCTTCCCTCCCCCCCCCCCGCTCCCGCCTGCTCCTGCAGCCGCCTTAACCGCTCCTCGGCTGCCCGCAGCTGGCTCACATCTGCATAGCGCAGCTCGATGCAGCCGCGCCACTGCTGGGGCCCCGCGCCTGTGTGCGCTTGAAAAAGCAGACGCCCCCCCCTTACAGCCTCACAGAACACCGAAACTGTGGCTGTTTGAACAACAAGTGGTAAGTTGAACAACAAGTGGTAAGTTGTTTGAACAAGTACGAAGAGGGGAGCTTCCGAACATAGAAATTCTGCTTTCTGGAGGGGGGGTTCCTTGGGTTTCCATGTTAAACTCTCAAAAAAGAGGGTTTCCTGCCTGTTACAGAAAAAACGCCATGTGCGAACTTGACACAAGGTCCCAAACTCCTAAAGCTGCACATCTAGCAGGGCCTCCTTGTTTTCACTCCAAAAAACCACCCTAGGATCCTCTCAGGGGCCAAAGTGATGCCGCCGAAGCCAGCAAGCCCTGCAAAAAGCACCCAAATGCGATTTTGTTGACAGCCCGCAATCTCAAGGCGCCAAATTCTCTCCTGCCTGCAATGAAGGCCTCGTTTTCTGGTGAAGGCGTGTGGAATTGCGTCAGAGCACCGCAGTTGCCTGGCACGGCGCCAAGGCTCGTGAAGCAGCCTTCACGGCATCAAGACCCCGCAGCGCACAAAATAAGTTGTATGACCACCGGACATTGTTCTTTGTCCCCCAAAGAACCTGGGAAGAATGGGCTGTCCCCCCTTGTTCCCTAATGTCAAACCAACCAAGTAGTCGACGACCAATGGTATTGCCAGTTGCGCATATGTCAGAACTAGGGCAAATGGCCATCTACTTGTGTGTGCTTCTCGATATTGGAAGAACTTTCAAGATCAGCTTCCTTGTGTTTTCGTGCCAACACACATCCAAAAAGGGTCCATCGTTCTCAGGAAAAAACATGTGGGTTCTCAAACCAAAAGGACCAAGACATGCTGGCGCCGCTGTGCAGCGTCTTCGTCATGGGCCGTCGTGCATCGCGGCGGCAGCCCAGAGCCTTTCAAAGAGACTCGCCCGGGTCTTACCGATAACCTTGGGGGAAAGGGAAACCAAAAGGAAACCGTTGCCATTTCGCGCTGATGGGTACCTCTTGGGAAGGGTTGCTCGACCTGAGGCCTTCAGCCTCTGCCTCGTAGAACTCCAGAGCCACTGGCGTACTCGACCTTGCCGAGGCGCCACGTCCGTTCCTTCACTAAATCAATAGTAGGTCAATGATTTGTGTCCTTTACTCATGTTCGTTTCCACAGACACTAGGGAGTTTTCTGCCTTCACTACGTCAACAGACCATCATGACGCCAACTTCCTTAAACAAACCAAACACGCCATCTCCACTAATGAAGGTGACATCCAGCCTGCAGTATGGCATGCACTCAACTTATGCCCTGTGGCTGTGCAAAGAAGAAAATGGCTCCCATTCCATTGGAGTTGATGGACTTCCCGGGTCGATAGCGCGTCTTGCTCGATCCAAAGAGATCACACACAACCCCAAGGCTACCTACCACATAAAGCGGGGGCGGCCAAACATGACGCAAAACGATGGACGGTACGGTTCGTGGGTGCACTGAGGGGCCTGCACATTCAGGTTCAGGTGCTCAATGAGCAGCAGCCCTGAATCCTGTGGACGACTTCGCCCGTGAAATTTGAAAAACCTTGCACATCAGGCAGGCTCCATTTCCAACAAGGATTTCCCTCCTTTCCAGGGGGACCCGCCAATTGCCAACTAAATAAAGCCTGGAAACCTGGCAAACATCCCCGAAGGAACCTCCTCTTGGAGCACCCTGCTTGAAGGTTCTAGCTGAAGCTTCAGGGATGAAGTACAGGTCAGCACTCTCCTCATTGCCTGCTTTAAGTGGCACACCCGCCCAAGTCAGTCCTTCACGAGGGATCTCGTGGCAACTGCAGCCATGTGCGGTCTCTTGCACCTCAATTGAGCTATTCCAAACGCTAGCACAAAGCCCTTTGTCAAAATGTCCAATGCGCATCTTGTCCGCCGACATGCCATGTCCAAGGCAAATAAACCCAGCAGCTGTCGATGCCGCGAACACCACGCCGCCAGCGCAATGAGGGGAATTGTCCGCGCCGATGCGGTGCTCCAGGCTGCCGTGGGGCCTGCTCCGCTCTCTCTCTCTCTCTCTCTCTCTGAGACTGCCTGCAACACGTACCGATGCCGTGGCATATTGGAGGGGGTGCCGTCAAGGTTGCTGCTGCCAATCTCAGTGGAAAAAAAAAAACCTTCATGTTTTTTTGTTTTTTTTTAAGGAACAAAAAAAACAATACACTATGTGGTCTGTGTGTGTGTGTTGCTTGCTTTCATCAAACATATGGGAAAATGATTGCCACACGCGCACACACGCACACACGCACACACCTTTTCATCCGCGCAAACAACAAAAAGCATCACAGAGATATACATACATTGCACATAGGCTCGCACACACACACACACACACACACACACACACACACACACACACACACACACACACACACACACACACACACACACACACACACACACACCCGCGCGCGCACAGTGACACAGAGACACACTCACACAAGCCAGCACCAAAAGTTCACACAATGAAAATATATACTAAACAGCAATGAAAGAAAGAAATAAAGAAAGAAAGGAAAAAAGGAAGGAAGGGAGAAAGAACGAAGGAAGGGAAAACAGCGAGATGGAACTATTGACCAAAACTAACTCAAAACCAAGAACCTGTCACTCTTGTGCATAGGAGCTGCCAAAAACTTGAGGGCCCATCGCCTTTCCGACTGAGCGGAGCAGCAGCTGCCGTCCAGGTGAGCAACGCAGTGGCAGCGGGCGCTGCAGCTGCCGGCGCAGCGATCATGGGCCAGGAGCCCGAAATGTTTGATCTTTGATCTTGGAACACAATCAAGAGAGGCTCCCAGATCCTGCTGTTGAAGTCGCCAAAGCAGAGATCAACTGATGCGCAGTCGCCTTTACATTATGGAAAGCTAGCCACAGTGACATGGCAACACATAGAACATCCATGCTGAGCCAATGGTCTGCAACCAAATGCATTCAGCTTGGCGCTTGTATGCACTCTCTGGCTTGAAACACTAAGATCTTGCCTCTGCATCGTCGCAGCCAGCTGCAGCAGCTGGCACGAAGATCAGAGCCGGCACCGAAACAAAGCTTGCTCTTGGGGAAGGGGTCACACAGTTCATCAATGCACAGGCCCTGCAATCGGCGAGTGCCACATTGCCTGCAAGTCTCGAATCCTTCTGGATCATCGAGATTCCCTCTGGCTCGTCATCAATGTAGGCCATGATGTCCATCTGCACCGAATGCATCCACCAATGATAAGGCTGGCAGAATCACAAGTCAAATATAATATAAGCCGCGATCATCCCAGATCATATATGTTGAATTTCATGCCTTGCGTATTTCAGCCTGCTTGGTCCTCTTGAGACTCAGCCGCTGGCATCTTCGTCAATTGGCTCCCATGTGGCAACACCGGCAGCCACAACTGCCTGGCAGGAAAGTACGCCAGCACATATCAGTTTGCAAGTCATCAAATCAATCACATGGCTCCTATTTAATGCACCCAACTATCTGCAAACTAACATCTAGTCTCTCAATAGTTTGCAACTGCCACTATTCCGGCGTGCACCTGCCCTCAAACAAGCTCTGTCCAATCAGCGTTCGTGAAAGAAAGCCTCGAACAAGCCATACCAATACGTTGAACATATATAAAGGATGGAAACCCACCACTCTCGTGTTCCCGAAATTGGGGTGCCGAGAGGTGATTTCGTTTTGGTTTTCGGTTCGGTTTAGTTTCTGTTGCTGCCGTTCAAAACGGGTGTCCCTTATTCGGGGACCCCCTCCTGAGCCAGCAGAAACAGTGCCCAACGAGGCATCGCACCTTGGCACAAACATGACCGTCATTGCACCAGTCCCAGTGCTAGCTGCACCCGCGATTCGGCCGCAGTCAGTGACATGGGTTTGCCTCTTGGCAAGTTTCAGGATCTCTATGAACATTTCGATGAGCATTAAGTTTCGCACGTGGTAAAGGCAAACAAATCTTCCCAAGAAGTCTCAGCTCTGCACGGCGTACAAGGCTCGCCGGCTGGCTAAAATTTCTTGGTGGAACACGGAACGCAGCTGCTGCAAATGGAATCTGCTCATGTACGCAATCTGAGCATAAGGACGATTGAAAACCCAAAACCTCAAAAGCCACGTCGCCATGCTACTTGTCAAAAAGCAAAACAAACATTGCTTTATCAGTGTGACCGAATGTGTTCGAAAACCAAAAAAAAATCATCCCCAAGGAGGAAACATTGCCATTCAAACGCAAATTTCAGCCTCTCGTAGTCCCCTCGGATGGCCCAAAAAGCTGCCAAAAGCAATGATCCTAAGCAGCAAGAATGCACTATCACCGTGGCAAATGTCTGGAATGAAACTCAACAGCAGCGCGCATGTTGCTGCCCAGGGCATGGTCTTGGAAGTGACCAATACACGCCATCCAAAACCCAGCATGACAAAAAAAGGAGCCTGGGTAACTGTCGCCTTCAAAACAAACAAAAAATTGCCTTCATCTATCTGTCTTTTGAGTTTGCAAACTTGCGCTCAAATGGACAAGCTGCCAGCTTACTGCTCCTTGCGTCTGTTCTCTGGAATGCAGATGAGTCAACACGCGTGTTCAACAACCGGGAAGCATCTAATCCTAGCTATAGCGCGTCTGAAAATGCGGAAAGGTTGTTGGTCTGCCCAGCCATCCAAGCAATGCGCACAGTGCGAGTTGTGACAAAGCCTAAGGCCACACTTACCGACAAAAAAACAGTCGGAAAATGCAGATCCGTGTCAGAGTGCAAGCCATCTAAGTTCTACGCCAAGGGTGGTCCATAGTAGCAATCCGAGCTTTGTTTTCGCTTTGGCGCGGCCTGTTGTTTTTTTTTCACAGACTCGAAGTGATCGACTTGCACCTTGGAAGGAAAAGCTGCGTGTCCATCGCATTCTTTTTGCGATGACGCCATCCGCTGTTGCGTAGAAAACACAAAACAAGAAGTCGAAGATTGAATTAGACAAAAAGTTTCCGTCGCGAACTTTGTGGACAGTCACACCACATCAAGCTGCACCGTCTAAGAAAACCCAAATTTTAATTGGCAGCTGCTCGTGCAGCAAAAGGGAAATGGAAAGATCATCGAGAAGCCAAGTTTCTGCGGAAAAGGCCAAAAGGCGTCTTTGCCAAAATCAAAATGGCCACTTGGCAAGACTAAGCGTGGATCTTTTTCTTCGGCTCGCACTACATTAAGTTTTCCTGTTGCAACGCCAAGGCGAACGCTGCGCGCATCGTCGCGTCCAAACAATCAAACGAAAAAAAGGCACCGTTTGCAAGCTCCAAAAGAAGTCGTGCGCACACACACTGTTGCTGACTAAGGACTGTTGCGTCTCTGACAAAGACTGTTTCAAGCTTGTGTGACGCTAAAAGTTAAAGGTGTGGTTTGTTTTCAAGATCTTCTTTTCAAACATCTGGCCAACGACTTCAACCGTGGCCTATGGACGTCTTTACGCGGAAGGCGCCGACCAAGACGGCTTGTGCGGGAACAAGAACTCCTGCAGAGTCCGCGCGCCGAACGAAGCGCCCCAAGGATCGCAACGCCGGCTGTGGTGGATGGAACATCAGACGTGGCCGTGTGTTTGTGTGTTTGTGTGTTTGTGAGTTTGTGTGTGTTTGTGTGTTTGTGTGTTTGTGTGTTTGTGTGTTTGTGTGTTTGTGTGTTTGTGTGTTTGTGGTGTTTGTGTGTTTGTGTGTTTGTGCGCTTGCCGGCGGAGGCGACGATCCTGGAGGCTTTCCGTGGAGACGCCAGGCTGACGGCGCCCGAGGACGCGGAGAAGCAGCCGGCCTGCTGCAAGATAACGCTGACAAGTTCGCAACAACGACCTTAGCTTTCCGAGCACCGACGAACGCGGCGAGGAGCTTTAACCCGCAGTACGGCGACGTGCAGCAGCTGCCCAGGGCAGCCGCAACGCGGCGTCGGGGCAATCCTGTGGCCAGCGCAGGATTGACACAATCCAGCGCATGATCAATTGGATGGTACAAACCACTATGTCAGTACTATGATGATGACCATATCACTGACTGATGATTTTTGGTTGAAAACCAGGCTCCGGAAGCACTGGAAGAAATATCACTCTGTCGCAAGCGTCTTTTTGCAGATTTTTTTGCACGCGTGTGGCGCGCGTATGGCACGCGTGTCGCACGCGTGTTGCACGCATGTCACTCGTCCGTCCAGGAAACGACCTTGTTCTGCGTGGGAAGAAAAGGTTCCAAAAAAGTCGTTTTTTCGGCCAGCCTGCCTTGCAGAAACGCAGCTACGGGGCAAATTGGGCTCCGCATATCTAGAGTGCGGCACGGGGCTCTCTGCAGCACTTTCTTCACGGACGAGTGTTAGAAGCCTCTCAGCTGCGTCAAAACCCGTTTGGAGAATCTCTCGCAAACAAAAAGTTTGCGCTTGTCAATATTGATCCTGCGCTGACTTTCGTTTGTTTAAGATTGATTCAATAATGGCCTGGTATCAAGGTGTGTGCGTCAGCCTGCAGAGCCGCACCACCCAAGTCCAGCCTGCAGAGCCGCGCCACTTGGAATTAGTTTTGTCAAGTTTGTCAGGTCTGTCAAGTTGCCTAAAACTTGTGCAAAACGCCTCTAAATGCACAATGCGCGCACAGTGACGCAAAGCTGGCTTGGAAGTTGTCTAAAAGTTCGACAATGGCCACAAAAAGCCAGAGTTGACAGACTTGACAGACTTGACAAACTTGACAGCCCGCAAGTCCAAGACAATCTCTTCGGCGGCTGGCTTCGCTTTTCCACCCAAGGTGGAATTCCGACTTTGCTCTCCGCCGCGCCATCCTGCAGAGCTGGACCACCCAAGGTCGGAACTCCGACCCAAGGTCGGAATTCTCCCACCCAAGGTCATTCTTCCCGAGGTCGGAGTTCCAACTTCCCACTCGAGGTCGGAATTCCAACTTTGCTCTTCCGCCCAAGGTCGGAATTCTTCCACCCGAGGTCGGAATTCCGACTTTGCTCCAAGCCCCGCCGATGTGTGCGGCACGCGTGCGTCAGAAGCCTCTCAGCTGCATCAAACCCATCCCCTCTAAAGAGAGAGCATCCAGCGCAGCACTGAAATCACAAGGTGCAAGAAGGCCAGGCCGTCGGGTTAAACCTGCCACTGGCTTAAAAGCGTGAGCTCGGGTGAGCGTATTAGCGTTTGCGCTCGAAGCATCTTTCCGGCCAAACATGTGTCCCAAGGCGCTGTATGAAGATTTTGATGGACGATTTCTCACGCGCCAGAGGCAACGATAGCCAGTGGTTTGCTCAAACACTTGCAGCACAGCCATGCAGCAGAGAATGAGACAAGCAGATTTGAATGGCGAGGAGTCTGGTGCAGATTTGTTCATGATTGCTTGTTCATCACATGTGCAAACGGGGGAATGGCGGCTTATTGGGTCCGGTTGTGGATGAGCTGTGGCAGATTGAGAGCGAGTGAACAAGCTCACGTCCTCCCACGTGCGGCAGGATCCTCAACAGCTGGTTCTCACGCGCGAGCGGGGTACAGAAGCCAGAAGAAAGCGGAAACCTTTAGGCCTTTGAATCAGGACCCCCATCTTCCAAGCTACAATGATGAGTTTCCAAATGTTCACTTCCTTTTTCGGGATCGGAGGACGCGCCCATTTCAAACAAGGACAGGTGCGTTCTACCCCAACTACATTGCAAGTGGCTGAGAGGACGTCAAGCTGTGGAGATCTATCTCTCGATGAAGGACTTGGGAGATGCCGCGAATGCCACTCACGAAGGACAAGTGGCCAAGATGAGAGAAAGAAAGGTGA